ACTAATTCTTCCCGGTTTGTGAGCAGCAGGTCAAGAAGAGCTCTGCCCCTACTTGGTTCCTCCAGCACTTGCACCAGGAAATTGTCCCCTACATTTTCCAAAAACTTCCTGGATTGCCTGTGCACTGCTGTATTGCTCTCCCAGCAGATATCAGGGTGATTGAAGTCTCCCATGAGAACCAGGGCCTGCGATCTAGTAACTTCTGCGAGTTGCCGGAAGAAAGCCTCGTCCACCTCATACTGCTCTCTTACATACAGTGCAACTCCCCGACCTTTTCTGCCCTTTCTGTCCTTCCTGAACAGCTTATATCCATCCATGACAGTACTCCAGTCATGTGAGTTATCCCACCAAGTCTCTGTTATTCCAATCACATCATAATTCCTTGACTGTGCCAGGACTTCCAGTTCTCCCTGCTTGTTTCCCAGGCTTCGTGCATTTGTATATAGGCACTTGAGGTAACCTGCTGATTGCCCCTCTTTCTCAGTATGAGGCAGGAGCCCTCCCATCTCACGCGCTCCTACTCGTGCCTCCTCCCGGTATCCCACTTCTCCACTTACCTCAGGGCTTTGGTCTCCTTCCCCCGGTGAACCTAGTTTAAAGCCCTCCTTATTGAAAATTAGGAGGGCTTCTTAGATGTCTCAGTTTGAGCATCCAAAAAGTGGGCAGCTAGTCACCTTCAAAATGGATGCCAAGATATTTCACCTTGATACAAGATAAAAGTCTAAAGCCTGTAACAGTAGCAGGGTTCGCATCACTTCCCTATAGCACTGCTCTAGGAATTGGCCAGCCGCCTCCTGAAATATATTTTTGGAATTTTTTTTAAAGGATGTGTCAAGAAAGGACATCATCTGTTTTACACACATGGCCTGTAGCTAAACCTTTATCATGAAAATATTTTATACCCTTAGCTAACACAAAGCAGAAAATGAAGTGACATTGTTGAATAGATTTTAACATATTCTATAAAGGATTAAAAAAGAATTTATTTTTGGAGTTAACTTGGTAATGAAGGAACAAATGCAATGTCTCATCCTCATTTCATTTCTATCTTAAGGGTTAATGATTTTATTGTTACTGTTCTTCATCATGGGCAGCAGTACAGCACTGGGTGAGTAATGGTAGGCGTGCCTGCCTTTATTTAAAGAGAAACTACATTTACTTTTTTTTCTTTTTTACAATTAGTATAAGATTTTCATTGGCTTGTAAAATTGTATCAATCACCAATAAAGTTGTTTACATTGTCATTAACTCTGATAGACAAAGATTATTGAAGAAGTGTCCTTCTTGCTTGTTTGATAGGGGACTGATTCTCAGAGGCACGGGATACCTGCCTCTTCTATTAATTTTAGGTGGAGCTGCAAGTGCACAGGGCTGCTCAGGATCTGGCCCATAGTCTGTAACAAAGGAAATACCACTGAACATTCTACTGCATGACAGAGTGTGGAGATACTCACAATGGCTTTAATGTAAGTTTATTAAAAATTGGTTTAATTACCTACATTTTCTATACATCATTTACTAGTAAATAACAGAACTACTGTGAAAGTCTGCAGCATCTCTTTTGAATTCTTTTGGGGTGAAATTTGCCTTTCTGCAGAGGGCCCATTGAGTACCATAAATCCCCTAAGACCTTTAAGACACTGAAATCCTACTTAAGGCCTATTTTGCCCTCAAAATAGGACTTCAGGGGTTCATAGAACTTTTGTGGGTCTTCTGCAGAACGGTGAATTTCAATCTTATTGATTAGCACTTCCTTTGTTACAAACTATCAGTGCAATCTTGCAAGTGGTCTGCATTCAGAACTCCCACTATATTCAATATATGTAATTAAACAGATTACGATAAAAAATCATAAATACAATATGAACCCTTACGCTTCAGGATATAAAACAACTTCTAACTGCCTGGGATTGGGAAGAAGTTTACCCAATACGGATATTATTGCAAAGTTGTCCACTGTGAGAGTTTTAGACCTTCCTCTGAAAAATCTACTACTGGCCAATTTTGAAGATGGATCAGTGCATTAGATGTACCACTGGTCTGATCTGGTATTGCCATTCTTCTGTTCCAAGAGGAAGTTATGAGCAGAGCACTCATTGGATGAGGCCCTAAATGCTATGCAGTAAAATGTCAGCTCTCCTTCAGAAACACCAGAAGCATTCATAGTTTAAAAATGACTGGTAAGTAAAAATAATGCTTTGAACATACCTGGGTTCTTTGATTTTTTTTAATGACCGTATTTTCGTTTACAGCCACTGTAATCAATGGAGTAAGTTATTTCTTAGCATGACTAATAATGTTAGAAACTTACCCTTAATTTTTAACTGTCTAGCTTTGTCACCATCTTGAGTGCAGAAATCCTACAGGCATCAACTGAGTGTTTAAAAATATGTGGGCCCTAAGGTCCAAGAATTAAACACTGCAGTCTTAGAATTTAGCTAATCTTGAAAAAAGATTTCTTGTTAGCTATCATAGCTTGGTGATCCAGTTATCTGGACTGAGATTGCATCTGTTTGCTCAAATCATTGCTGTATGTTCAGCAGAAAATCTCAGCACCCTTCCAGGCCATGCATGGTGATAGACCCTACTGAGCAAAAGGGTTAACATACCATGGAAAACCATTAAAAACTCAGCACTCCACAACACAGGATTTCTAATTTCCTTTAAAATCATGGCCTTCCTATGCTAAAAACAGGAAACTGAGCTGTGTAGTGGTAAAGTCTATATGATAACTGGAGGAGCCTAGCAAAAATAAACTCTCCTGGCACATCACTATGTGGAGGTTCTGATGCCCTGGAGAATCTCTCTCTCTTCACCCACCCCTCTCCCCTGCCCAAATTGTTAATTCTGATTCTGACTCTGCGGTTTCTTTCTTAATCTGCATTATTGCTTTTTCTCAGCTGGTCACTTTAATAAGGCAGCTAGACATTGTACCTCCCCATCAACATCAGTGGATAGTAATAACAACTTTCTCAGGCTGACTTCAGGCTCATACCTACTATTAGAGAGTGAAGGGTCCCAACAGACATTTTTAGCATATTTATTAACTCCCCCAGTTATCCCATAGGCTTTTTCTGGTGAACAGCTCGGTTTCCCTTGGAAACATGTTTCATAATTTTCTGGTATTCCATAACCAAGGAGACTGTGGATAGATTGGACAACCCTTAAAGGAAAGCTGTGAAAAACTGCTAAGAAAGAAAGAAAGAAAGAAAGAAAGGATTATTACGTGCTGAATCAAATATCTTCCTGCCTGAGTGACTAATCACAGCTGTCTAAATATTAGATTCATAACAATATCCTGGACTTCCATTGTGCTAGTGGTTTACAAGTAGTTTTACCCGCATTGTACACAGGGCTAACTGAGGCCTGGAGAGGCTATCATCAGCATTTTCAGACTTGGGAATTGTTGGTGCTGATCACCTCTGAAAATCGGGCTAGCTATTTAGATGCCTAACTTTAGGCACCTCGGTTTTAAATTGTTGGATTTAGTGATTTACCCAAAAATCACACAAGTCAACTGAGAAGATAAGAACAGAATGTTAGATTGACTGTCAACCTTAGACAGTTTCCAGTAGCCCACAGCTCTCCAATACTGAGGTTGAACACACTGTAGTGCATACCACCTTGAATTTCCAAAGCATTCAGCTAAGATATTTTTTTAAAAATGGGTGCCTGAAGTTAGGATATTTAGTCACCAAAATAAATGGGCTGTTTTTCCAGAAGTCCTGAGTACCCCACAGCTCCCATTAAAATGAATGGGAGCTATTGGTTGATCAGTTTCACGGATAATCAGGACACTTAATTTGGTGCATACATGTGGACATAGGAACCTAACTTTAGATACTCATTTTTGAAAAATCTTGGCTTCAGTCATTTTATAGTGTTTTTTTTTTACCAACTATGCCCAGATTTTCAAATGTAAGTACACATAAATAACGGCACATCTAATTTATGTGTGTAAATGGCAAGCATGGCTAGGGTGGCCCTGACACCTCCTCAGAATATAGGATTTCCACGTCCCTGCCTATATAACCCCTCTTCCTTCCTGCATCAGCCTGCCCATGTGGCCCTGCCCTATCTTAGCCCACACACGCAGCCCCACCCCCTTCCATGTCAGCCCCCTGCACTAGCCCATCCCCTGCATGACTCTACCCCGGTGTGTGAGCCTTCTTGCATTGGTCCACCCATGCTTGCATACGGAGGTGCCACATTAGCCCCCGCCCCTCTGGCATCCTCCTCCATCCACAGTCTCTTCCTATTTTCTACTCTCATTTTCAATGGACAAAGCCATGTCCAGTTCTAAGTCTCTACTGGACAGGAACAGTACGGCAGAACTCTAGGACTGTCCGACTTTAAACTGGACAAATGGCCTCCTTACATATGGCAGGAAATAACATATTGTACACAGTTATGGCCATTCCCATCCATGCGAACCTGAATGTATGCACACATATTTGTGTGGCCATGTGTACGAAAAAATAACTACAAAAAGAACAGGCGTACTTGTGGCACCTTTGTGACCTGTTCTTTTTGCGGATACAGACTAACATGGCTGCTACTCTGGAACAAATAACTGATTTCCACATGTGCACTGATACATACATGCACATATATTTGAAAGTTTGGCCCACTATGAGTTTTAAGAGTCCTAACTGGGTTACTTGCATGTGTTTGAATCTCATCAGCAAGGAAGAATCACTACTTTTAAAGTACCTTCTGTTTCACTGAGACTTTGTCACCATATGTATTTACAACGTGCACAGCAATGCAATGCTATTTTTGTATTCCTGGATCACATTCATATTTGACCTCTGACTTAATAAACTTTGTAAAATCAAAGCCAACCTTGAGCTGAGCATCAGCAGTTCTTGCACTGGGATTGAACAAGACACCAACAGTGTTTTTAATGGTTGGATGGCTAAACAAGACAGCCTTTAATAATGTTTTTATACATACAATACAAGACTCCTGATAGAAAGAGAATAGATATCCACACTGACCATAGTCTGTATTTTCCGGCTCCCAACAATTTGATGGCCAAAAATAGGGTGTCTATAGAATAAAACAAAATAAAACAAAAAAGCAGGGAATTCAGGTTAGACAAAGCAAGCATTATACAATTCCTAGACTGACACTGTTTTGTAAAGGTTATTTATGCTTTCTTGGGAAATCCACTGTACTGTAAATCCAGCAATTTTGAAATAGGCATCAAAATGGCAAATTACTTTTGTATGCTTATTTATGGTATTTGTGTAGTGTTCCAGAATGGCAGATAAGAAGAATGAAGTATTATTATTATTGAAAAACTACGGAACAGGTAAAGGGCAGCCCTACTTTCCCCAGGAACATGCTCACATCGACCTGAAGTATCAACGTTTAGAGGTGAGAAGTTTTTGCATTCTTTATGACCCATTCAATCTCTGATTTTGCAGAACTTGTGATTAATATATGTTAAGGTTCTAGGCAACTCACTAGTAGATATTTATTAGAGCTGGTCAAAAAGGACAGGCTGTTTTCACACAAATATTCAAAATTTCAAAGTTGTATTACTGTCAAGGCCTTCAAAATGCACTTCTTTATTTTTCCATTAAAAAAATATCTAAAATGTTATTGACTTTTTTCTTTCATTGCAAACTAAATTATTTTTTTTATTTCAATAGAATTTTGTTTACATCGTTGGGGAAGATATCTTTAAGAGTTATTAATATTTTGTAAGTAATGAAGAAAATAATTCATTTTTGAAAAAGACTATTTCAATGAAAAACCTTGTTCGATGAAAAAATCAGACAGCTCTAGTATTTATATACACACAATATTCATATGTATACACGAATATGAAATTTGAGATGTCATATTAGTATAGTCAAATGTCAGTATTGGTGTTGGTTTGAGCCTGCATTTGGGGAGAAAGAAGGAACTCTTCTGGGATATCCCTTCGTTTTACTATGTATTTCCAGCCACCATCATCAAAGGCCTCACAGCACAATGAATCTGGTTTGATGACTTCAGAACCCATCAATGTTGCCCAGGGGTCATCACATTTTATTTCACAGGGAAGATCTTTTTGCAGAATAATGGCCTTTTGTCCAATTGAGAAATTTTCACAAAATATTTGTTTTTGAATTGTTTCCCCTGATGGAACTGGAAAATGAAAAATGTTGTCTTTTTTTAGAGTGGATTTTTTGTTTGTTTGTTTTATTTTTCCTTCCCTTCCCTCTCTCTGTTTTTCCTCATCCACCCACACCTTTTCAGTGGTACAATGGAAAACAACGAGAGAAAAGGTGGTGAAAGAGAAAAAGGCAGAAAGTGAAAAGTGAAAAAGCAAAATGAAAAAAACAAAATTTCCAAAAAAAATGGTCAAAACTAAACATTTCTGATTAAAATGTTCATGAAATATTGCTACTAAATGAAAAATCGTTCCCCCTGCAGAATTAAAATGCCTTTGAAATATTTCACAGGAATATATTTTCCATTTGTCTGTCATTGCTAATTAATTGGTATTCACAGTTCTAGAGCTCTGATGTTAATTTACATTACAACTCATTGCATAAACTGAGGATCATTTTGCCAGGTTCCAATGATTAAATGTTAATCTTAAATAATGGCAGCCCACCCTGGGGAGAGACTCAGAGAGCCTTTCTCATAGCACTCCCATACATGGCGGTAAACAGACATGCCCTCCCACCCAAAAATCCATGCACAACTCTATGCCTAAATTAGCAGAAGCATATGCTAATCCTTTTTTTAATAGATGCAGCAGGGCCCACTAATAAATATGTTTCCTCAAGGTATTTGGCAGCATCATGCCTGCTTTAGCCATATGGAGACATACTGACTCTAGGCATGCCACTCTCAAAGCACACACCTTCCCAGTTCTTGAGTCTGCATGGCTGTAAATGCAGGAGTCTGAATTTAGCCCTAAAGCTGTACTAAAACAAGCTAACAGTGATATCACCCAGAGTCTTGGACAGCAATCCCTTGAGTGGAACTGGATATGTGTAAGCCATATGTTGCAGCTTTTCTCTCTTAGCCAACAAACAGTTCTTCCAGACAGAGCAATAACATTGTCCTTTTCTTAAATGGATGCTATAGGTCTTAGTCTTATCTCAAATATGTGACACGCCTCTTTGCATCTCTGCAATTCAAGTATTTAGTTTATATCCTTTTCCTTCCTCTCCCAACCTTTCCCAGCATTTAAGAACTGGTTAAATAGTGGACCATGAAGAATCTCCTGGAGATGAGGAAAAGTATGAACCCTAAAGACTTAGGAAAGGGGTTTAACTTATCCAAGGAAGGAAGAACAGAAGAGGGGGGCGGGCCTATAGAAATAAGAAACAAGAGATCCAGGGCATATTGTAGAGTGGGGTGTATGTAAGTGAGGCGTGGGATTCACTATAAGTGTGTGTGTGTAGAAGGAAGGGGAGACTAGCTGTTCACCTCTCAGCTGGTTAAGAACCTCCCAGAGCTATGCAAAGAATCTCTGCCCATGTTTATGATCTCCTCTGTGCATGAACTGTGGTTTCCAAATGCATGTGACTGCCAACCTAGGCAGAGTTTGAGTAGGTGGTGGAGTTTTTATCTAATTATTTTGCACACCTCAATCATCAACTGTAGTAGAATTATCTGCTGTGTACCTCACAATACAGATACCTTAGGGTACACACATTAAAACCCCCCTGAAAACCCCATTACATGGTCTACAATTTTCAGGCAATTGAAAGCTTTGACTGGGAGATTTACAGAGATGTTGCAGTACAACATTTTGTATGATACATTGTACATTGTATGTACATTTTGTATGATAACCATTTCCATAGTGAAGATTATCAAACATTAGCTTTTTTGAGTGGAATGTTGAAAACCTGAAGGACCTATCAGTCGTTAAAAATTTCATTTTTCCTGAGGAGTGGCTGTCAAGGGGTTTGCCATGAATGAGTGGTAACATTCCCTATTTGCTACTTTGCCATGACATCCTATTTATAGCTGGAAAGAAGGCGGGCTGCGGAATAGTTTTGGGAAAATCAAATAGTGTTTATCAGCCCAGGCAGAAATAATGCTGCCAATTTACATCACTACAATTTTAAAGCATTTGGTCTACATGTATCTGTAATTGGGCAGGCAGTTCTATTCAGTCCTGTGGCTGGAGAAATAAGGTCATATCTAGCACCAAAAGTATCATCACAGACCCAAACTGATTGGTTTGTATAGAACAGATTGTCTCTATAAGGTCATTACAAGCTTATAAAAAGAGAAAAGTGGCTCTAGGTAAGCAATTTTATGTTGTCCAATCTGGATTATATTTTTATATTACTTTCTAAATTTAACCATAGCAATCTATATCCAGGCCCCTTCTGCTAATAAAAATGTATAAAACCAACTCCTGTAATCCAAGTATATATCCCCATATTACATTTATTTGCATTGGTATTTTGCTAGTAATTTAGCAAAGGAACTAAGAACAGTTCTATCTTGGCTCTATCATAAAACAAATCATCCTCCTCATCATCCTAGAATTTTAAGTATTGAAGGCACCTGCTAATTTTAGGGTTGCTAACCTTGCAGGATTGTCCTGGAATCTCTAGAAATTAAAGATTAATCTTTAATCAAAGATTATGTCATGTGATGAAATCTCCAGGAATTCATCCACCCAAAGTTGGCAACCCTGCTTGTTATTTCAAATAGAGAAAAACTTTGATTCAAACACAACACCTTTTTATAAAGCACTGTTAGTTTGTATGGTTTAAACTGTATTTTTAAAGGAGAAAGATCCTATAGTTTACTTTAATCCCTCCCTTTGAATAGTTATAAGGGAAAGGTCTGTTCACCAGGGGACAGTTTAGTCTAATTAGTGTATATGGTGAGGAATATTCATGTCAAATGTAAACCTTTTGCTCCATATATTGTCATTCCTCTCCAGACAACTGCTAGGGACTGTTATGAACTCTAGAAATGGGGATCTATAATCTTAAAATATCATCAAATAAAAAACAATTGATTATATACATATTAAAATGCCTCATGTTCTCTAACATCTGCATTGGAGGAACTCAAACATTTTCCAATGGTAGGTAAGTTTTGTTATCCACATTTTAAAGATAAGGAAACTAAGGCCAAGGGAGAGTGAGCGGTTTTCCCAGGATAAAGGAAGTCAGTGACAGAAACGAGTATGAAAACCAAGAGTGAAACCCTGGCCTGACTGAAATCAATGGGATTTTTGGCACTGACATCAACAGATTCAGGATTTCATAACAAGGATCCTGATTCTCATTCTCACACTTGACTCATCAGACCACATAACATTCACTGTATGCATCTCCTGTAATGAATGGAAACCTTAACCAATAATCTCCATATTACACATAAATATTTAATTTTGTTTTATTTATCTGTTGTTGTAAGACTTGGTGATTTAAATATAATTTAAGAACTTTGACTGTATGATATTTAAAGGAAATACATTCATCTCCAAAATATGAGTTGTACATTACTGATCTGTACATATTGATCTGACCAATAGACAGGGGTGGGATTATCACAAAGATACAGCATCCTTGGTCTTTGCTTAGAGACAAGGCACAAAAGTTATAGCCTGGATTTCCTATAGATGCACAAATGGATAGCTGATACCAGGCTGATCAGACATGGCATAAGGACATTGGGTGGCGGGGTGGGTTCCTGCTGTGCATGACAAAAATGAATATACACTCAATATCATTACATTTGTATATATGTTGCTGCACAAAACCTAATCTACCAGAATAAAGTGATTTTAAAAATAGTACAAATGAAAGCATCTGAGTATTACTTGTGTTATATGAAAAGGTAGAGAGACTGCAAACATATTTTAAATATCTACAACATGGAAACTTAAACTCCATCCCATTCAACTGATATTGTTATATGTATTTCACATACAAAGAGAGACTTTATTAATGCAGTACTTTAAATTCTCTATCTTAACGCCTACTAAATTACTAGAACCACTCCATGCAGTAAGTAGCAAGTCTGACTCAGTTTATCTTGTTAAAACCATAGCCTTGGGTGGCATAAACAACAGGAATAGATGAATATCTGACACAACAGATGTAAACTTACTAATGCCTGTCAACACTGATGTTTTGAAATTTTTTGTAGTTTAAGTGTATTTTATTGCATATGTTCATTTAATTTTAACAAATGTATTTCAGAAAGAAATTATACAAAAGCATGGTGGCCAACTTTTGACTGATGCCTAACACAAACACACCCAAGAGCAAACTCTCATACAGCCACAGACCTGCAGCAAAGAAGTTAGCTGCTATGCTTATGGGTCCTTTGAATCATCAAGGGCCTTTAATTCCTTCAAACCAGGAATGATGGAGGCATAAATAGGCATGCCCAGGGGAGAAAAGGTCTGGAGCCAGAACATGGCTGTAATGTTAACTCTGCTTTTGCATTCTACATGTGTGCCCTTTGAGAAGCTGCTTATAACACCTTCCTGTAATTTAGCCTTAAATCTTTATTAGGGAGTCATTTTTCCATTAGAGTAGCAGCGACATCATCTCTTACAAGTTAAAGACTAAACCCAAGGTTTTTTATATGTTATGTCATGTTGTATAAACTTTTAGGCAGATATATCTATGTAAAAAAAAAGCCTTAGGGAAAAATATGTTAAATATTTCATAAGCATTCAACTTGCAACCTCAGATGTTGTATGATGAAAATCGTCCATTAGGATAAACTGCCTCCAAGGGAAGAGATATTCATATTTTATTACAGTATACCATTCTTATTCTAGTACTATCCATCAGGAGGCACTGTATCCTAGTGGGGATAAGGCACTGGATTGGGACTAAGGAGACTAGGTTTCTATTTGTGCTTCTATTAGCGACCTCAGGCAAGACATTTAACCTCTTTGTGGGTCTCTTTCCCCATTTTTAAAATGGAGACACATAGCTCTTAGCTGTTTTATAAAGCACTTTATGATCTATGGATGAAAAAGTGCTATGTAACAACTAGTAAATATTGTTTATCATCATTGTCCCGATGTTAGGCTATTTATTTATTTAAATTAAAAAACAAGTAAAATCCTTTCTGTACCAGGGATAGTTAGATGGTTAACAGTGTGGTTCTTGTTCAGACAGTACCAGTAAACATTTCTCTATTTTGGGAGAACACTTCCTTGAGACATTGGGAGCCCTAGGTATGCCAAGAAGTGCCTTCATGCACAAGAGACTTCTTCGGTATTTCTGAAGTTTTTAATGACTTATGTCAGTTCATTCAAATTTGGTCCTGGTGGACATGCTATATATCACCAGCTTGCCACTGAAGTGAGGAGAGCCAGGATGGGTATGCAGTTTGGAAAGTGGTCACACTCCGATCACTGGAAGGTTGTTCTGGGAAAGATTGGAAGGTGGGGAAGAAGAGTCAGGCACTTTTCACTAGGAAAGCAGACTTACAAACATGAGGCTGGATTAAAAGACTATTGGCTCACACGGAGTACAAGGAAACATGTAGTTGCATGACGTTCCAGGAAAGAATTCTGACAGGAATTCCCTCCTTCTGCTGGGGCAGGGAGGGAAGTAAATTACTTCACTTCTTTCTGGGGTTCAGCTTGCTTCCCTCCCCACCCATACTTGGCCAGCTATACATCCCACCCACTTGCTCATATGTTGGGGGTAGGTATTATGTGTGCAGCTCCTGTTTTCTTTCAGTGCTAGGGCTGCAATGAAAAAAGCCCTGCTGCTCACGGACTTCAGGGGGACTCATTACTTTTTAATTCCCTGAATGGCTGTGTTAGGGTTAACCAAAATCTAGTCCTCTATTAAGTGTGCAACTATCTGGTAACTTTTAGATCTCCTCCTCTGAACAACAATATTAGGTGAACTGCACCAGGAACAATTAGTGCTGATGCACCTAAAAATGGTACAAATTGAAAACACTTATTTCTATTCCCACATACTTTTTAAAAGCTGGGGGCACTTATGATTTTTACAGCCCTCCTGATGGCTACAGTAGTAATAGAAAAGCATAATTTTGGTTGCAAAAGGGCAATTGAACAAGTGGAACATAAGCTCCACTCATATTGTCAGCCATTCATACAGAGGAGTAGCTTGTTAAAAAAAAAAACAAAAACACCTGGAAATAATTACACTATCAAGAGAGAAAAAGGGGATTGGAACCCTTTGTCAGACATAGAAAAGGACAGAGTACATAACTGCAGCTAACCTATTTTCTGCATGGCAAGTCACTGCGCTGTAGTAGGAGAGTCTCTGCAGGGATGGACTCTGCAGTTTGAAGTATTGGCTACTACAAATGCTTTTTCTCTGTGTATCACAGTAGTCTAGAAATTGTTGGATTCTGTCCAGCCATGGTTCTATTTTTGATGCACCTGGGGAGATTTTCCACACCTCCCCAAAAAATTAAAGTTAAAGTAAAATAATTTTACCTTTTCCCGGTTGAATGGGCCATTCCCACCTCCTAATTTAACAGTTTTTGTATTGGTGTAATTTTGGTTAGAGCTGTGAGATTTTTACTAAAATAGTTATAAACTCAATTATACCAGTATAAAGCTGCCATGTATTGGTATAGCTTACCCCCATTATCGTCCATCAATAAACTATACCAGTATAAGCGCATTTATACCTGCATAACTGTGTCCACACTAGGGGGTTGTACTGCTTTAACTCTTCTGGTATAGTTGTTGTAGTACAATTCCTCTGTGCAGACAAGGTGTAGACTAGTTAATGAATGCTCCAGTAAAGAGCTCCAAAGCAGCAGCAGAACTGGGCGACCACCTGGCATTAAAGAGACCAGCAGCCACAGCAGAGGATTGAGGGGCACTTTTAGAAATTACCTTATTTAATGAGTCATGTGTATATCCATCTATCTTATATATGAGTATATGGGGCAGATCCTCAGCTGGTGTAAACTGATTAAAAGTTCCTCCCAAACATTTTCACCCAGAGTCACTGATTTATTTATTTATTGGCCTATCTATTGTGAAGAAATGCATTCTACACATTATTGGTTTGCTATCAAATACTCATATCAGTAAAGAGGTTAAACACAAGGGCCTTCCCTGAAATACCCTGCACAGGCTGGCTACAGCTACCACCCCTGGATGGTAAGGCACACAGTTAATTTAATACTAATCCACCTTTTTTTCTGCCCCTGATTTGTTGTGTTATGGAAGCCTTATGTTTCCCAGGTACGGGATATGAATAGATTAGTAATGGTGATTGTACTAGTATTGTAATACTAGTCAAATTTGTGCAGTAACACTCCCTCTCCTTGCCCAAATCAACTTCCTGTTCTTTCATGTTAGATTGACAGTATTGCAGGTATGTAGTTATAAATCTACACTACATTTTTGATACTGTGTGCTTTAGGCCAAAGATCATGCTGCTTTGCTAAAAAGGAGCAACAACCGAATCATAACATATTAGTCTAGAATGTCAAAAGGTGAGGTGTGGTATACAACTAAAATGGTGATCATGATTTGAAGGTAGGATTACTCTCCAACCTGTCATGTTTCTTCTACACTTGAAAGACATTGTTCTTCTCAGGTATCTTTGAACTACATTTTCTTTTTTTAAAGTAAAAGTTAGTCTTAAATGTCTGGGGGATGATATGCTAGCACCCCATCAGACAGTCTTTTCTGGTTCTAATACATTTATCAAACGCCAGGATATCCAATCAATACTGTGGATCACATTTGTCTCAATGTACAGAACATGAAATCAAGCTAGCTATTCATTGTATGAAACAGTAAAGAACTAATTTTAAAACTGGCGTAATAACATTAAAAAGGTACAAATAAGTATGCAAATAAAAATAAAAACCTATGAGTAATATATATAAAATCAGATGTATTCTCCTAATGTGCACTAGAAAACCTGCTCATTTCTACCATGAACACTAGTGTGATCAACATAGAAATCTCTCACTATAAATGTTAGATCATAATCGAATATGTGCTGGTAGAAGACACACGTACATCTCTCAGAAGAGGAAATATTCTGTCTGAAGTGCTCTACAGGGCCTGTGAGAAAAAAGCCATAATGTGTTTCATTCCACACCTCAGAACTCCATTGGATCTTTACAAAGGAGGGTCCTACTGAGGATTATGCTGTATGTAATTTTATTGCAGCTGTTAGACTTTTCAAGCCATTAGAATTATTGTTATTTCAGAGAGGGACATTTCCACCCCCATATAATTTTAGGTACATATTTGTGATGGTCCTCAGTGTCTCTACATTTAAATTATTAGCATACAGTTTCGGAACATAGTCCTATTAGCATTTTTAGGTATAAGATGAATTGATATCATTAACTGGGCCACTGAAAGGGGACGATACGATTACAGTTACAATAAATAGCATCTTGCTCTTAATATAAACCTTCATTTAAGCAACCCAAGAACATATTAAGCATACTTACTTGGAACCGGTAAAAGGTGCCATCATCCTTTAGTGTAAGAACATGGTCTGAGATTGGAAAGAAATAGCCATGGGCTGCCATTAACGTCCCCAAATGTAGAGCTTCCACTGTTGAGGTGTAGGGAAAGAAAAGAACATTTTTAAAAAATTAACCTTTTCTGTATTTACAGCAAGGGACCTTTATGTGACATTTCTTCCTGTCTCCTGTGAGTAAACACCCAGCTCTTTCACTATTTAATATAGAGATGGTACCAAAATTATTCCTCTTCCTAAGGAGTTGATTTGTATCTCTCCCATTCAACAGCTTTTCCTCTGCATTCCCACTACCTTCATTACTGACTCACTCCATCCATTTCTCACTGAGAATTACTGCCTTTGTGTTGTCTAACCCTTCCCTTTAGAACAGGTCTAGAAGATGACATGGTGTTAAAACAGCATGGGCTGGTACACCTTAGCGCGCCTCCCAGCTGCACCAGTGTGATAAGAGATTTCCCTACAGTCCTCAGTATAGACAATGTATTGAGTGAAGAATGGCTTAAATTTATCTTAGCATACAAAACCACAGCCAATAAATATATATGCTAAGTGAAGGAGTACTTCTGGCACCTTAGAGACTCACACATTTATTAGAGCATAACCTTTTGTGGGCTACAGCCCTCTTCATCGGATGCATAAAATGGAACATATAGTAAGAAGATATATATATACATACAGAGAAGGTGGAAGTTGCCATACAAACTGTAAGAAGCTAATTAATTAAGATGAGCTATTATCAGCAGGAGAAAAAAACTTTTGTAGTGATAATCAAGATGGCCCATTTAGACAGTTGACAAGAAGGTGTGAGGATACTTAACATGGGAAAATAGATTCAATATGCGTAATGACCCAGCCACTCTCAGTCTCTATTCAAACCCTTAATGGTATCTAATTTGTATATTAATTCAAGCTCAGCACTTTCTCATTCAAGTCTGTTTTTGAAGCTTTTCTGTTGCGGAATTGCCACCCTTAAGTCTTTTAGTGAGTGGCCAGAGAGGTTGAAGTTTTTGAATGTTATGATTCCTGATGTCAGATTTGTGTCCATTTATTCTTTTGCATAGAGACTGTCCAGTTTGGCCAATATACATGGCAGAGGGGCATTGTTGGCACATGATGGCATATATCGCATTGGTAGATGTGCAGGTGAACAAGGCCCTGATGGCGTGGCTAATGTGATTAGGTCCTATGATGGTGTCACTTGAATAAATATGTGGACAGAGTTGGCATCGGGCTTTGTTGCAAGGATAGGTTCTGGGTTAGTGTTTTTGTTGTGTGATGTGTGGTTGCTGGAGAGTATTTGCTTAAGGTTGGGGGGCTGTCTGTAAATGAGGGCTGGTCTGACTCCCAAGATCTGTGAGAGTGAGGGATCATTTTTCAGGATAGGTTGTAGATCTTTGATGATGCGCTGGAGAGGTTTTAGTTGGGGGCTGAAGGTGACAGCTAGTGACATTCTGTTATTTTCTTTGATGGGCCAGTCCTGTAGTAGGTGACTTCTGGGTCACCTACTACATATGCTAAGTATTACACATATTCTTATATTTACATTGTACCATTGTTCAGTATTAGGTCCCAGGATATTGGCTACACACTTTGCAATTATTACAATTCTCCTGTCAGGACAGCAGAGCCATACTATAACAAGAGTGGGATTGTAATAGTTACACCTTGTACTTCCTATGGTAGTTGAGTTCCTTGGCCCACAAGGTTAAGCTATTTCTCCACTAGTCCCTCCATATAACTTTACAAGCCAAACCAGGCTCTGGAATATTTATATACCCATGAAATAGACACACAACAATTTCTGTCATTTGGAATTTTGACAATACTCTATCAAGGATGGACCAATGGCATGCATAATTTCACTCTGAAAAATCGGTTACAGTTTTATGTGCAACACAATGTTCAAACTGGTAAATGCCTATAGTTTTGCTTTCTTTATGTTCATGTCATACTTTAAAAAGAGGTGACTCTATTGTTGCAAATTCCTAATACTTAATTACTAGGTTGAAATCCCATTCCTCAGTTTTTCAGGATGGATCTATATTGTATAGCCTCTCTAAACCCTGGATGTAGAAGTTTAGCACAGAAACACCAGCGAGACTTTGTGGCATTGGCATAATGTGTTCTTTTACACTTTCTTATGTTAGTCTTGGCTATAAGAATGAAACAGTTCTGTTAGCTCACCCATATTTCATGAGCAATATGTGCAAACTCTCTTTTCACCTTTCCGCTCACTTTAACACTTTCATCATGAGTATTTTAAATTTTTCAAGAGGATGAGTGGGAATTTGTAGCTGTCCTGAATCCACCCACCCCCAGAACCCCCTCTTGGGTTCAGGGACAGGCAACTTCCCCACTTAACCCACCTAACCACAACCCCAATTCTGTCTCTGCTTCATGACAAACACCTCTTGCTCCCGTAATCTTCTGCAAATTAGTCCCAGTCCTGCTGGCATAGCAACTGACATCCTGGAACAGACAAATGATTGATGTAGCCCAGCATGATGTCTCTGACAGTCCACAGTACCAGATGCTTCAGAGTAAAGAACCAAACCCCCATAACAGACATTCTTGGAACAACATGACCAGAAGGAAAGTTTCTTGACCCCAGGCTTTTAGTAGTTCTGCCCTGAAACATGATAGGATAATCTTCATATGGGTACAAACTTTCTAATGTAACCACAGCTCTTCTTGTTATTCATATGTATTTATAAGCCATTAAATTCTATATCTTGTGCCAATGAATGCCAGGTTATTTTAAAAATAAATAAATAAACACCCCACCCCCTCTAATTATTTTAAAATCAAATGCCTTTTTATTTTAATATCCTCATTCTTTCACTGTGCAAGTGAGTAAATACCAGAAGACTCTCTTATCTAGCAGCTATTTAAATTATATCTCTACTTGTGTGGGGAAAAGGGGAGAAGAGAGAGTGACAGACAGATACAAATTGATTGAAAGAAGAAATCCACCAGTCTCCTTTTTTAAAGTAAGTTTGATTATGGATGGCTGGGTTCACAAGGGGAAGGACAGAAAGGGTGGCTCAAATAGGAATAAATAGTTTTAAAAACTTTTAATAGGTTTATTTACAGCGATACAGTACAATAAAACAACTCAATGCCTTTTCTCACATCCATATCTCCTCAGTTTCTCTCCTCAGAGAGAGAAGGATCTGACTGGTCTCCAAAGGTATGATCCTGCTCTCATCGAAGTCCAAAGTAGAATTCCCATTGACTTCAGTGGTGCAGGGTCAAGCCCCTGGAGGGAAAGGAGAGCATTGAATGATGATATCATAATGTTGATGCATGTCAATAAGAAGCACCAGAAAGTTTCAAATCTTCTAAGTCTGAACATAAATTTACTCTTCTATACAAGATGTATGACTGTAAGGATTGCACATTTATATGGTTGGCAACAGTATACAGAATTACAATAGCAAGGATGAAAAAAGAAAATATGAGGTTTGGAATAAATATAAACCCTCAGGGCATAAGCTAAACTAATGAAGGTTAGAAGGAAACAATCTGTAGGGTTCTTGTACCTTTCTCTACAGTAGCTTGTGGTGGCCACTTTGGGAGACAAGATACTTCATGAACTTGGTGGTTTGATCCAGTAGAGCAACTCCTATGTAACTGAAGAAACGTAAATCCCATAGGAAAGCAAATTTATCTTTGAGATTTCTAAAGTGTTATTAGCAACATAACCAAGCAAAATTACCTTTAAATTTAAGTTTAACTTGGCAGTGTCCCTTTAAATATTTCTAATAATGCATACAATTGTTTATACAAACTAACTTCATCAAAAGGACCTAAGTAGCTTAGGATCCCAGTCTCATTGACTTTCAAAGTCACTTAGGCACTTTTGAAAATTTGACACACTCTCAAACACACCTTAGCTATGTCTGCAAAACAATTCAAAAGTTATTACTCTCCTCGTGCGCTATGATTTTTGAATACACCAGTTAGCCCTTGAAGTTGGAGGTACTGAAAGGGCATATCTGAGATTCCGGCAGTGACTTCAATGAGGTTCTGCATGCAAAAAGTATTCAGGATAGGACTTGAAATGTGCCTTTACTCTGTGGTTTGTGAATGGGAGAGATATGGGAATAAGAACTCCAATCAAGACTATTAAATCATCAAGTCTATTGATTTAATATTGGTCATAAGGGACCCTCTAATCTTACGGAACAGCATGGTGACACCAAAGTAATATGCTTTTCCCTTTCCTCCTTATCTTTCTTTCCGGGACTGCAGTAAGAAAACCCACAACCCATAAAATATTAACGGGTCTGACAGAGATTAGGCTGAAAATGTCTTTACCACACTGTTCGCTTAACTATTGCTAAGTCTCTCAACGCTGGCTGATTTGACATATTATATACTGCATTGCCATCCATAAACATATGAGAGTGGGCTAGAAGCAGAGTTTCAGCCTTCTACACTGAGTTCTATTACTATAATACTTTGTTGTGAGAGTTGTCAGGTCATTTGTTTGGACACACTGTACATTTTCAGTTTTGAAAAAGATATTTGGGATAGGCCGGAATTAGCTACTGGTACGTGTGACATTCTAGTGCCAAATATAATATGGATGTAGCCCCAGATACTCAGAACTGTTGTGCTTTTGTGCTATGATTTTTGAATGCATCAGTTAGCTCCAGAAATCAGAAGTACTGAGAGGGCATATCTGAGATTCCATGTGGGTGCTGGAAAGGAGACTGTGACTGTAAGGAGTTTGTGTAGGGATAGAGCAGGGAGTGGGGGGAACAGCAATAGCCAGGAGATGGAAACATCTGAAAAAGGAGGCAGTTAGCGGGGCCTGCCAGGTCACTCTAGATCAGGGGTGGGCAAGCTTTTTGGCCCGAGGGCCACACTCTAGATCAGGAGTGGGGAAATTGTATGCAGGGCCGGGGCAGGGAGTTGAGATGCAGGAGGTAGTGTGTAGTGTGGGAGGGGGTGCGGTGTGCAGGAACGGGCTCAAGGCAAGGGATTGGGGCAGAGGAGGTGTGCGGAGTGTATGAAGGAGCTCAGGGCAGGGGATTGGGGTGCAAGAGGGTGTAGGGTGCAGCAGA